TTGCAACATGCATAGACTGAAACATTGACTTCAGGCCAAAGCTTTCACATCATGACAAATCACATCAAAACTGCTATAACAAGGTAGCGCCAAGACTTGTCTTGCAACAGAGCACTTCTGTCTTACATCCTCCTGCTTACTGGTCGGACATGGTTTGGATAGATTTGCACGGACCATCCACGGTTCCAAAAAGCACTTGTCAGTGGAGTCACATCAAGCCCCTCCACTTGAAGAACATTTCTGATGTGCACCATGGTTGGAAATCTCTCGCCAAGACAAAGCACGGAAGTCTTCAAGACGCGCCACAATATACAAGAGCTGTGTGTCTGCGCGTTTCTATCAAGTGTCTGTATGATGTGTGTATGTATCTGTGTGCCCATGCGCCTGTGCGGCTGTCCTGTCACTGATCAGCTTTGCTGACAGTGTCTTGCTTCTGCTGGTTGGCCAAGCGGCCTGGGCTGGAAACTACCGCTGCCGGCGAGAAGCACGCTCTGGAATTCCTCCAGCAACCAAGTGACCTCCTTACAGGACAGCGCAGCATTGTTAGATTCAAAGATTGTGTTACATCAGGTTACGTCTTTATTTTTGGGAAACCTACCCTGCCGAGAAAACAAGTCGGCGTTCCTTTCAGCCCTCATTATGAGACAACATGCCTTTCCATGCAGAGCTTGCGTCTTTCAAAATAGACACTGCTGTGCTGCCTGCATTGTCAGAAAGCAGTGCTGTCCCCAATAGAAAGCGCGCGGTCCCTACACCAACTTGTGTCTTTTCTGAAATAAAGTCCACCGTGTCCATCCTCTTGTTTGTTCAAACAGCCCAAAGTCAGTGTGAGGATTGCAATGCCTGGTCTCCCAAAAGTTTAGGATGGCCAAGCGGTGCGTCGGAACGCATGCAAAACATTGCTGAACGCCATGGTTCTATGGTTCAATAACCAACTTCAATAGTTACTATGTTGTGAACGCCTCGATTCGGAAGGAACATGCGAAGCTGGCAGCAAGACATGATAAACCAAGCTGTGTTTGAAGCTTGCGTTTGAGCAAAGGTGATCAGAGGGAGCGCAGACTTCAATTCTTGTGGCAGGTCCTGTTTTTGACTCCCTCTTGCTCTCACACCTGGAAGGATATCGCAAAAAAAACAAAAAAGGTTATCACTGCCACGCGCGTATTGCAGGCTGCAGGCTGCATGTTTTTACGGCAAGAAACTGTTGACGCTTGGCTCTGGATTGACGCCTGGCTCCAACTTGATGCTGTTCTGCGGCAATCGTGTGCATGCAGTTCTGCCCCGTCAACTTTCCAACTGACCCAGTTCTTAATGAAACATTAAAGGGGGGCAAGAAGTTGCCTTTCTGAACTCAACGTGCAAGAATTTGGGAAGTTGCTGTCACCACAAGCCTTTTTGCAAGTCTTTGTGCAAAAGTTCACAAAATTCAGAGATCAATTCGTTTGCCAAGTTTAAGATGTTCAAGGCCAGGCAAGATGCACCCTATCGAGGGCACCAAGAGGGCTACACCGCGCATGACTCTCATGACTCTCATGATGCACATGATGCACAGACACATGAGACGTGAAGCCTACGGAGGCACATGTTACGACTACGGCATTCATGGTGGTCATGGCGGTCATGGCTTCAGTGTGCTCTCACATTGTGCAAGCCGAGCGCTCGGCGTGCCTTGACTGTGAGAAACCGCGGCGCAAATCAAACCACTGAAGATGTCGCCGGCCGGGGGCCTAGGAAAATTGCGAAGGGCATGACGGGCATGACAATGCAGACAATGCATTCTGCATTATTGGCACTGCGTTTGGCAACTCCGGTGCCAATTAATCGGTGATAACGTGACATGCCGTGATTCCAAGTTTTTTCAAGTCAGCAAACTTGCAATGGCGGTCAGAAGCAAGGCAAACTTCCAGACACCCTGGAACATGAAAGCAGCAGCTCTGTGTGCTTCTGGCTTGCCAGCTTGTCTGTCTGCTTTGTTGCGCATAGGCGTGCATCTGGCTTTCTGGCTTCTGGCGAATGAGCTTGCAGGGCCAGCAGCTGCATGTCTTCCATCGTATTTGGGTCCTACCCGTGGCGAGAGCCCTAAACTCTTGTCCGCGGTGGCCTGTTTCGTTTACCGAGACATGGATGCCAACCACTAAAAAGAGATGGATGGGAATTCCCGAAAGAGCACTGTCCAAATCAGTCAGGGCAATCCTAAAATCCTAAAACCCCGAAACTGAAGCACATGCCCCCGCTCTCAACACCTCTCAAAATCTTTCAACATCTCTCAACGATCGCGTCTCGTCTTCACTGTGACAATTGCGTTTGAACTAGCTGAGGAGCTCCGGATCGGCCGTGTGGCAAACATGACTTAGACATGACCCTCAATATTCGCCTATGCAAAGACATGACTTAGACATGTCTGTGCAGACCAGTCGAGAAACGCCTCGGGTCACGACGACAAGGGGATGTCGGGGATAGCAGGAATGCCATGCGGCATTTGCAACCACTGGAACTTCGACGCTGACCGTACGGTTTGCTTCAACGTGTCATTTGTTCTATTCGCTCTTTGACATCGAAACTTCATTGGCTTTGCCACACGTATGACACATGATCTCATGCATCGTGTGCATCTGCATCTTCACAGCGTCACGACAGGCTCGGCCTTGCATCAAAATTGGATCACGATGGCCCCATGTGCGAAAGAACAACCCCCTGTTTTTTCAAACTGCGCGCGACCTCATGGGGATCACTCAGGATCACTGACACTTGGACAATCAAGCAGTTCAGCTGCCACGTTGAAGTCCACAGTATGCAAAAATGTTGCAGGTGATGCCATGTTGTGCCCCATGCTGTGCCCCATGCTGTGGTGCCATGCAAATCATCAGCATCCCTGCGGACATCCACACTCCACCGAGGCTTGCAGCAGTTTCCAGCTGGCAGAAGGCCCAGCACCTACCAGAATGAAGTCAGGCCAGAAACACTGAAGACTGAATCAAATCATTCCATTTCAATGCAATTTTCGTTGATGTTCCTCAATCTCAATCCGCCCACACCGCTTTGGCGGTGAAGGCGTGCTTATTGGGGGGCAAACAGCTACACTAAATGCTCAATGACATTTGTTAATATAGCAGTCGCTATATCAGCTTTAGCTGGGGGGGGGCAAAAACGGTTTCGCACCGAGACCAGAATTCGGTGGTGTTTTCGACATTTTTCGAAGATTTTTGGGTGTCTGAGCGCAAGAGGGTATTGAAACGGAATTTTGGGTCATTTTGGTAGCTTTCCGGCAATGGAAAAACGGCCAAAAATGAAAAAAACATTGTACATAGCAAGATTTTGCAGGGTTTTTGGATGCCAGAGCATTGAACACACTGCAAAAACAAGTGTTTTGGACTGGCGTTATAGCAAAAAAACTGTAAATTACCGTATGCTTGACTGCAAACATTACAAAAACACTGTCAAAAGCAATGTTTTGGAAGGATTTACCGCCTTTATGGCAAAAAACGTGTAAAGTACCGTCTGTTTGACTGGAAACATTGGAAAAACACTGTCAAAAACAATGTTTTGGAAGGATTTCTTATATATATATATGTTGGAGTTGGCTACCGGCATTGGAACACGGAAAAATTGAAGAAAACACTGTAAATAGCGGTATTTTCAACGGTTGGGGAGATAAGGGAATTGGAAGCATTGTCGAACATGATGTTCTCGACCGGTTTTATGGCGACAAAAGTGTAAAGTACCGTGCTTTGAAGGAAACCATTGCAAAAACATGGAAACACATTCAAAGAACACGGGATTTGGGGGACTATCTAGGCGTCGTTGTCTAGCTATTTGAACTTCCGCAGCTTGGAGAGCCTCCAAGGAAGGGAAAAGTGAAAATTCCATAGCTTGGGAAGCCGCCACGTGGGGGAAAAGTGAAAATTCCCTAGCTTGGGAAGCCCCCACGGCGGGGAAAAGTGAAAATTCCCTAGCTTGGGAAGCCCCCACGGTGAGGAAAAATTAAAATTCCCTAGCTTGGGAAGCCCCCACGGGGGGGAAAAGTGAAAATTCCATAGCTTGGGAAGCCCCCACGTAGGGGAAAAGTGAAAATTCCCTAGCTTGGGAAGCCCCCACAGGGGGGAAAAGTGAAAATTCCATAGCTTGGGAAGCCCCCACGGCGGGGGAAAGTGAAAATTCCCTAGCTTGGGGCCCCCGCGGTGAGGAAAAATTAAAATTCCCTAGCTTGGGAAGCCCCCACGTAGGGGAAAAGTGAAAATTCCCTAGCTTGGGAAGCCCCCACAGGGGGGAAAAGTGAAAATTCCATAGCTTGGGAAGCCCCCACGGCGGGGAAAAGTGAAAATTCCCTAGCTTGGGGCCCCCGCGGTGAGGAAAAATTAAAATTCCCTAGCTTGGGAAGCCCCCACGTGGGGGAAAAGTGAAAATTCCCTAGCTTGGGAAGCCCCCACGGGGGGGAAAAGTGAAAATTCCATAGCTTGGGAAGCCCCCACGGCGGGGAAAAGTGAAAATTCCCTAGCTTGGGAAGCCCCCACGGGGGGGAAAAGTGAAAATTCCCTAGCTTGGGAAGCCCCCACGGGGGGAAAAGTGAAAATTCCCTAGCTTGGGGAGCCCCCACTTCTCGCCCTCTTGGAATGATACATCTTTCAAAAATTTACACCCTTAGCCCCTCTCACGGATCGAAATAAACCTGCGGTGTGGGCGGCCACCCCACGCGAAGCGGGGTGAATTTATATACTGATAGCCTGGCACAAAAGCCCAAAAGCATCAAGGCTCTGTCATGTTGTTTTTGAAAACCCGAAAAGCAACCAGGTGGCCACAAGTTCAACGCGCTCTTTCCTGCGTCATGACTTGTCCTGATTGGAGAATTCACAGTATCACTGTGTATCACTTGTCTATGGAGTGACCATTGCTCCTCATCATCTCCTTACAACCTAACACCGTTTAGACATGGTTTAGAAGTCTAGACTGTGTCAAAAAAGTTTAGAACGCTTTCTACCCTAAAATCGAAAGAATGCTGTTTGCTGCGTTGAATGAACGCGGGATAAGGACCCAGTTGGCGCGCCTGCTGATGGCCTCCAGCATGGGGCCCCGGGACCTTTTGGCCCTTCAGATTTCCCACCCACAAAGCTTCAAAGCGAAGCGGCCCTGCAGGAATACGCCTCACTTTGCAAAGTTGGCTATGTGGCCCAAAACAAGGACTTCTGAATCTTTCTTGAACTTGATTCCCAATGCCAAACCAACAAGGAAATTGTATGCAAGCGCATTCTAAGGAATGCTACTGACCACCATCCCGTTCTTACCTCAAGTGTAGTTTCACCTCTGCCGCCTTAGCCTGCACTTCTACCGTTCGACGCTGGAAAGCAAAACCCACCTTCTACCGTCGGACTTCGAACTTGCCCCTTTCACTCGCAGCTCAGCGCCCAACGTCCATGTCACATTTCGGCAGCAAAGCACCCAAGTGGCCTGCCCAAATCCGTCCAGCAAGTCCAGCATGCCAATTGGTAACATTCAAATGAAAATGATGAGATGATGTCATTTATGTCATTGGTTCAAAGAAAGGCGATGGAACATGACACATGGTGACACACATCTGGCACTACTAAAATGCTTCATCCTGATCCAGTTACAAGTTGCTATCATCTTCACAATAGCCTTTTTTAGTTGCCGGCCATCCCGGCCACGGCCCGGCCACGGCCACCTGGCCAAAGGTGAGAATGGGATATGAATCCAAACCCTGCCAAAGATGGGTCGTTCACCCGCTCAGATGATGGTGTATTCCCTAGTCTTTATGATATGCTTTCCGGAGGACATTTACCAACCCCTGATTCTGATGATGGCCAGTCATACCTGCACCCAAAACTGCGTTATACTGCGTTTAGTGTGCGTCATGTTCTATACTCCCCATGTGAAGAATATATCAAGATATATAAAGTGTGTCTGCATACTGCCCAACTCACCCAGGTTCACCAGAGATCTGACCGGATCTGCATCTGAGATTCTGTCCCACCGGTGGGAATTCTGAGCGGGCGGACCTGAGACGGTTTCAAGATCAATGGTGCCATGAAAAAGAGCTTGAAATAAATCATGGCTAAGGGTATCTCGAAAAAGACAGAAAGTAAGGTCCTGGTGAAATTGGTTTACCTCCGGCCACCCGGCCACGCCCACGGCCACGGCCACCCGGCCACCCGGCCACCCGGCCACCCGGCCACCCGGCCACCCGGCCACCCGGCCACCCGGCCACCCGGCCACCCGGCCACACGGCCACACGGCCACACGGCACGGCCACACGGCCACACGGCCACACGGCCCACGGCCCACGGCCACACGGCCACACGGCCACACGGCCACACGGCCACACGGCCACACGGCCACAATTTATTTCGACAGCCTTTCCCCACATGCCCGAATTCAAACGGCTGTATTGATCCAGCCAAGACAAACATAGCCGAACACATCATGCCGTGTGCTTGGTGCAGTTGAAGCAGCTCTTGCTATGGAGGCGAGTTGACTCAACTACGTGATTGTGTATATGTGCTGATCGCAACATAGCACGTAAGCATCTGACGTAGATAAAATAAGTAGATAAATGGATAGGTAAGATAGATACGATAGATTAGATAGGTAGATAGATAGATAGAAAGATAGAAAGATAGAAAGATAGATAGATAGAGAGGACAGATAAGATAGATAAGATTAGATAGGTATACTGAATAAGTATGGCCTAGTTTGTCCCCTCATGAATCTGTTGAAATGAGCTCAGAAACCAAGTCACACTTCGACCAAAGCATGTTTCACCATGCTTCATACCTGTTGCTGGTTGAACTTGTTCAATCGTGGTGAACTATGGTTAGCCACATTCAATCATGGATACTGATGGTTAATAATAATGGTTGACAATGGTTCGTGATGGCTTTAGGTGATGGTTTTCGTGTTGAAGACATTGCTGCTGAACCATTCTCGACTTCCAGCTGCTTTGTGCTGGACCCCGCTGCTGCCAATGGCTTCGGATCAGGACCATGATCAGTTGAGCTCAACTTGATGCTTCGGTAAACTAACATCTATCATGATCATTCACCATGGTGACCCATCATCATTGACAGCTGCCATGTTCATAACTATCAGTCCTCACAGTTGTCACAGCACCGCTGCTCTTCGTTTTCGAGCACCGCCCGCAGACAGCCCGCCGCGCGTTGACCGCTCGCCATTCGTTCGTCGTTTCGGGGGCCTCCATGTTCGGCCTGGGACAACATCGCCCTTGGCGACCCGATCGTGATAGCCATCATCAACCAGCCGTTGGCCAGGTGTCAACCAGTTGTCAACCACGTTTCGAGAAACCAGCGATCAAATGGAAGATCATGGTTGGTTTCTCAAATATCAAATGGCCAGTCAATCATTAGTGAACCCCCAATTCATCCCCAACCATAGTATGTTTGATCAATGGGTGATTCTAGGCGTCCCCCAAACTGAGAAACTGCCATATACTGTGTAGCAATCCCTGATCATCCAACAATTATCTTTGAA